TAGTGGTAAAGTGTCCTTGGGTCCAATCACCAGTACTGCAAAACAAAACAGAACAATCTACTTTTAGATATATGAGAAGTATACTAAACTCAGTGTGTTCAAAAATAAATTTGTGAACCATAATGAATTTTAGTAGTGTATCCATGTTTACTCTTGTCAAAGTCAGAAACGGTGTCATTGTTTATGACACTTTGTAAAATTACCTTACTGTATTCAGTCATTCACCAAGGCATGTTGAGTTTATTTACTGAATTGCTCATTGCCACAATTCATACTAGAACATCATCATTTCTTACCTTATTATCATTTTCACACTAGGACATCATCACAGTAGCCTCCAAACTGGCCTCTCTACTTCTAGCTTATCTCCTGTTCATTTTGTAAAAATGATTCTGTAACTTTCCCTGTTTTAATGACTTCCCATAACTTTTATATGAAACCTAAACCAGTAGTCAGTAGAGTTGTGCACAAGATAATCTGCTAGGGTGCAGGAAGTAATTATTAGAAAGACTATTTGTATTTACCATTTTTTCCCTGAAAAACAGTAATACATTTATATTTAATAATTTGTACTGTTTACTAGTAGTCATCCCTTCTTTCATATGTTAGATGGCTACTTAATACTGAAGGTAACCTAAAGAAGTATTCTTTGTTCCCTTTCTGCATGTTACATGATACTGTAATTTGAATGTCTGTTTAATGGACATATGTATTATCTAATTATTACTCTCAAATGGTTAAGTCAAACCAAGTATGTAACTGCAAAGATGTTGGTCGTTCAGCTAGCAAGATACACAAAATCAGGCTGGGGATATAATTCAGTTGGTTGCTTGCCTCACATGTACAAGACCCTGGGTTCAATCCCCAGCACCTCAAAAAAAAAAAAAAAGATACACAAATTCAAATCTCTTCTCATAAATTAAAAAGACTATATGCTGATTTTGAGATTTTAAGTGAAACTTTTAAATTCAGTCATATTTGTAATCCATGTCTTTTTAATGTGATAGCCAGTAAGAGTCAGATATGCAAACTGATAGCTCTTTGAATCACTATCACAAAATGTTAAAATAAGATTTTCAGAAATGATGAAGATAAGATTGGGGATGTGGCTCAATAGTGGAATGATTGAGGCCTCTAGCATGCACGAGGCCCTGGGTTTGATGTCCAGGATCACATAACTTCAGGGAAAACAGAAATGATGACAGTATATAGTCACTTTTTATGAGAACAAGTGTTTGTACCATAAACAATTAAAAGTTTAATTTTAGTTTTTTTATCCCTTTATGTTCTATTTTTTGTGATACAGATATGTATAAATTTTGTATGATTATATTATAAATCCTATAAAACAACATACAAGTAAATATATATCGACATGGGTACGTAATTAACAAATTTCGAGACCATTATTTTAAATTATTATATAAAATAACTTTCAGGTTTTCTGCTTACTTTTCTAGCCTCTTACCTGACCTTTTATGATTACATTTCATGCTTTTGTCATATTGGACTTTTTTGTATTTTAAATGGGCTACATACTCTTTGCTTCAGGTATTTGTGCATTCTTAGTCCTCCTTTAAGTCTTAAGTTTAAACATTTTCTATAGTAGTGCTATCAGATTGTGGCCCTTGAACTGTCTCTTACCTATCTTTGACCAGTTAACACTAGAATGAGCATTTAGAAACCTGAACTGCAGCCAGGCACAATGGAGCACACCTGCAATCCCAGTAATTAAGAAGGCTGATTGAAAGTTTGAGGCTAACCTAAGTAACTTAGTAAGATTCTATCTTGAAATAAAAAGGACTGGGGATGTACAGAACAGACTGATTCAAGTGCCATGGTGAGTTGTGTGCTAGTCATGCTCAGCAACACTATCTTCACCATCTACAACATTTTTATGTTAGCCATTTATAACTCAGAAACGTATAAAAATTGAAGAAAATGTAAGCATTTATTATTTTTAAAATCATGCTATTAATCAGATTTATATTTTGGTCTACATATAATTAAAAAATATAATAATAAAAATAAGTAAAAATTATTTTCAGTTTTTAAAGTTTCTGCTTTTATAAGTATTCTCTAAATCTTAGAAATAAAACATTATTTTTAATTCTAACTTACTGATAACAAAGCAAGCTTTACTGGTCTTTTTTGGACCAAAAAAAGATAACATGTTTCTGAATGTGACAGTAGTAATGAACTAAATGATGTCAGTGTGACAGTAGAAATTATTTTAGAGATATAAACCAAAGGAGTTTGCACTCAATTTTTTTTTTTTGAGAATCATTATCTCTTAATATGATTGAGATCAAGTTTTAGTTGTAATTGATGGAAAAGTGCTAACCATAGTGGATTATTTGAGGCTATGCTGGCATGTATACATATGACATAAATATGTCTAAAACCAAATTCATTATTTTAAAAACTATTATTATTAAAAATTGATGAAAGCAGATGTTCAGGATTTCATATGTAAAGTAGTATTTTGTGAGCTTCAATAAAGTTTCACTTTAGATTGCCAACACTGAAAAAAAAACTGCATATAAATAGTAAAATAAAATGCTTGTTTGGAAATGTTGATTGAATCTGTAGCTGAGAAGGCTAACATAGCTTGATGCATTTAGGAGGATAGTTCTAATAAAAATTCATTTGTCTTACCATTGACAAATAAGGAGTTTTGTTAAAATTTGTTGAATGCCTTGATTTTGTTAACATGACAATAATGTGAAGTAAGAATTTATTTTTCAGCTTCATTACTGGTAAACACAATCTGCACTAAAGTACATAAAACTTTGAAGGGCTACAATATTAATGAATGTGGTTTGAAGTTTTGCTTTGCTTTTGTAGTAATACATTTTAATTATACAGAGGTAATGACAAAAATTGTGCTGGAGATTGACCCATAATATAATCAGTATCCTGCTTCTTTGCTTGAGAAAGTCTTTCTGTGTCAGTTGAATGTATGCTTGCCTTATCAGCTGAATTAATAGTAGTTTACTGTGAATTATTTAAACACAATACATTAAATTTAAGATTCCTAAAAAATTAAATATTAACTTGTTAACATTTTAATTAAATCAGTATTAACTGTTAGATGTTAATAACATAATTAAACATTAACTGTTATATGTTGAAATATACGTTGGTTTTCAAAGGGAAAATTTCAGTTGAGTATTTGAACTTTGAGATGAACTCAGTATTTTTGCAAGATAAGAAACCAGTTTGTGGGGGCTAGATCTGTGGCTGAGCGGTAGCGCACTTGCCTAGCATGTGTGAGGCAATGGGTTCGATTCTCTGTACCATATAAACAAACAAACAAACAAACAAACAAATAAATAAATAAATGTCTGTCAACAAATAAAAAAATTAAAAAAAAAAACAGTTTGGTCCCCAGCTTTTTATATATGTGAAATAGACTTTTTAAACTGATGGCTTCACTTAAAAAAACAAAAATCTCAACCTTCTATGCAAGGCAGAAATGTAAAATGCTTTTTAATGGCAGACAGCATCAAAGGACAAAAAAAACTTAGAAATTTAGAGGGATGTTTCTGTGCCTTGCTGTGATGGATTCTATAATATAGCAACAATCAGTAAAATAGGTAGTGATCTTGGTATTGCACATTTGAAAATATTATAATCAGATTACACTACCAATTTGATATTTGATAAATAAAATTCCATAAAATGTTAAATAAATTTTCTCTTTTCCATAAATTTTTTTTTACAAATTTTATTTTCCATAAAAATAAAATATGAGTAGGAAATTCATAAATCAGAAATCCTTTTTCATCAGATGTTATTTTAGATTTCACTATAATTTTTCTGGATAAAGTATTACAGCTGGCTGCTAATGACAGATCAAGCACAAATGTTAAAGAGCAAATATTCTGCATTTTGGATAAAAGTTCTGAAAAAGGAATATCCTGAGTTTGCTGAAGTCTCTTTAAAATCTCTCCTATTCCTGTCAGCATACTCCCATGGTATTAGTTTGTTTGAGTGCTATTAAAACAAAATATAGAGTTTATATACACGTTTATCTCTTGTGAGTCACACTGTCATTAGTCCAACCTAGATTAGATAAATTAATAAATGTTGTGGCTATAGCCTTCAATGTAGCTCCCAATGACCTACCTCTTTAATCCCCTTTCATACCAGGATTAATATGTGTGGCAGATGTGTTAGTGTGTCACTTCAGAGGTTGGATTATAACACTGCATCTTCTGTCTTGGTTGCTTTTCATTTTCTCTCTGGATAATTTTTATATAGTAATAGATACAGCAGACAAGAAACAATTCATGTAGTTCATTAAAATTTTTAAATATTGATATGCTATTAATTCAGTACATAAATTGGTGCTTAATTTGAAGAGTTGCTTTTCACTCATAACTTTTGGTTAAATTAGAGGTGTGGAATGATAAAAGTTACTAGTGTGAGAGTAGGTTTCTGTGTGAATTGCCTATATGTATACTGTCAATAAAAACTCTTATCTTTTTTACTTCTATTTTCCAATATCATTTTAATTTAATTTTATTTTATGAAAATACTGGTCCATGAGTGATTGGGATTTTTAAAAGAAAAAAGGAAAGAGTGGTTATTCACACAGATTATCTAGATCTTCTAAGATCTATTTGGTCATAGTTCTTGTGGTACTGTATGCTGGTGTTATTTTTAAATGGTCTTATTGCTGCTATATTATAATTGAATGTATTCCGTGTTAACTGAAAGCTAGAATCCATGTCTGTTTTTGCTTTTAACATCGTCAATACCCAGAACAATGTCTAGTACACTGTAGATATTGGTTGAAAGATTAATGTTCCTTTTACATTTTTCTTATTGTGTTAGAATGATGATTAATTTTTGTAGTTGTAAATATGCCATCTATTATAACCATTTGTCCTTGGGGAATGTTCATTGCGTCAGCTGAATAGAAAATATTCTTAGCATTTTTCTTGTGGAGTACTAGGGACTTTTATCAGATATATGTTTTTATATTTCCATAGCACAACTACTGCCTCTGAAGATGATGTCTCAAGTAGATATACCCGAATAGACAGAAGTGGGTTCAGTAGGTACAACAGAGATGCAAATGTTGCAAGTAATTTGGTCTCAAATAGCACATTGGAAAAGAAAATTGAAGATCTTGAAAAGGTATGCTATATAAATTATTTAAGATTGATAAAATTAATACATCACCAGGATTTTTTTTCCTTCAGTTTCAGAGCAGCTGAGAGAGGAAATAAATTGAAATTTGCTGGGGAGAGAGAGTGTCAAAAAAGAGTGGGGGAGAGGGTACTAATGGGAGACACTAATATTGATCCATATTTCCATGCTAATCAAATAGCTTTTAGTCACTGTCTTATGTTTTAGTTCTTAGATATATAGTGACAGGGTATTTTCTGAACTTCCTTAGCACTTTTTTTTTCGAATTTTGATGATGTTTAAAATTTAGGCCAAGCATGGTAGCACACGCCTGTAATCCCAGTGACTTGGGAGGCTGAGGGAAGAGCAACACAAGTTGTTCAGTTGGTAGAGTGCTTGCCTTGCATGCACAAGGCACTGGGTTAAACATCCAGCACCACAAAAATAGATAGATGGGTAGATAGCTCAGTGGTTCAATCCCCAGTACCAAAAAAAACAAAAAACAAAAAACATTTGAGAATGGAGCAAATTCTTATATCCCTAATATTTAATGGTCATTCCTATTTTGCTAAGTGTGTAAATCTCTAATATACTGAGCAGTCTTTATTTGAGCTGGCAATATGTTCTACTGTGTGTTTATTATATTATATTATCCAAACAGAATAATTATCAGTAACTGGTAGAACCAGAAGTGAAATTAAGGACCATTGTTTTTTCAGTTTAGAATTTTCAGTTGAAACCACTAAGTCATACCCCTAGTTTTGAAACTTTATACATTTAATAAAAAATTTTGATCTCCTCAGTCAAGACTAATTTTTAATTTTAAAAAGTTCATAACTAACAGTAGTGATAAGTTAAATAAAGTCATTGAATCTTTCAATATTTATCAAAGAATTGAGTAAAACATGGGTTTTATCAGAAACATTTGACAACTCCTATATTCCCTCCATTCCCTGATTATTTACTAGGGTGGGCCCTTCCTTCCCTTACTGAATGTCTTAAGGAGTTCAGTGGAAATCTTCATATATCTAAGATAACTTTACCAAACTTCGCAAATGTGTGTGTCCTTTTGCCTCTTTTTGAGATAGAATGTCCTTGTGTTGCTCAGTCTGCCCTCAAACTCATAGGCTCAAGTGATTCTCCTGCCTCAGTGTTCCAGGTAGCTGGGAGTACAGGCACAGACCATGTGCTTAGTACAAGTTCTCTTTTTAGAGGAGCATGAAAAAAATTAAAATTTACCTTTTCCTTGTTAATTTACAGATATTTTAAATTTTAAAAAATATCATGATTATAAATAATCTACTCTTTAAGAAATAAGTGGCATTCTGACAATCTTGCACTCAGTGTCAGAATTTGGCTAAAAGAATCTAAGGATCTTTTTCAATTTATAAACATAGATAAATTTTCAATTTATCTATGTTTAGAATCTTTTACTGTTACCTGTAGATGTATGCCATTTAAGATTATAAATAACCATTTACTTCCCAATTAATGCTATGTTATTATATTTACTAGGAAGTAGTAAGAGAAAGGCAAGAAAACCTAAGACTTGTGAGACTGATGCAAGATAAAGAGGAAATGATTGGAAAACTCAAAGAAGAAATTGATTTGTTAAATAGAGTAAGTATTTCACATATTTCAGTTCCCAGATTACCCTTTTTTGGCAATTGGATGAAAATACATAAAAATGAAGAAATTCTTTAATTGCATTGCTGAGTTTGTTCTTTTGTTAATAAGATAGTAATTTATGGTGAGAACCAGTATTCATTTCATAAACTGATTTTCTCTGGGCAATTATCATTTAACTCACTTAATTTTATTTTTTGGTGGATGGACTGATGAAATTGGATGTTTCTTTTGTGTTTCATTAAGAGTTTCGAGGTGAGAGGCAGCTTATATAAAAATGGATATTGGCACAGAATTGCATCAATAAAGAATTGCTATTTTATTATTAAGTAGAACTTCAGATGTCTTTGTAGGTAACTTCACCAGTTTTTGTATCTAGTTGTATTTTATACATTTCAACTTTAGGCTTAGGTTCCAAGCTCTGTATTATTCCTTTCTATAGCTCTATTTTTTTTTTTAACCTCCTACCCCAGCCCCCAAATTTACTTGTTCCTTAAGAAGCAGGCAGGTCAGACCTTTGTAATAGTGATGAGAAAAGATGCCATAATTTTGCTTTTTGCAGGAATTTAGATAAAAATGAAGGAAAGAAATGTTTGCTTCAAGGAGAAAAGGAGCAGACCCCCAATCCAGTCTTAACTACAGCCATGAAGGAAGAAAAGATAGCTCCATTATGTGCAGAATTGTTCTTATAGAGTTTGAAGGCAATAAGTACAGGTTTATAGAAAAGGACAGTGATACTCCCAGTTGAACTTGCTGAAGGTCACATATAGTCATTGACTGAGCCAGTATTTGATTTTATATAGCCTTTCATCTTGGTTCCAACATAGGTAGGTGTTCCTCTATTTGTGATGGAATTATATTCAAAAAATCTGTAAATATTTTTAATGTATTAATGTTTTTAATGTATTAATGTATTTGCACTTTTAGGCATTGTGAGCATTAAAAAGAATAAAATCTCTTGTTTTAACATATTTCATCATTTACTTCTTAATTTTAGTTAGATCTCAGTTGTGGTAATTTTAGGAATCCCATATTTTTAGTTGTTGTTTGAACAGATTTATTTCCTAACCTCATTCAGTTTGTAAACAAATGCAAATTCCGATTTTTGCAAGTTTTTAAATAATTTGCCTAATTATCTAAGACAGTGTACTAAATTTATAAGAATGTTGCTTGCTATCCTATAGCATACTTGTGATTCAAATTGTGTCGAGTTTTAGCATTATAAATAGTAAGAATAAATCTGTAAATGTCTTTTCTAACAATGGATATATAGTCTGCCTTGAAATATTGTTTGTAAACTAAACCTTATAGAGGATTGTTTTAGTATTAACTAGATGATTGTGTATTTGAGACTAGGATTAATATAGAGAACATAGAGCTGGATCATATACTTTAAAGCTGGAGAGTGAATGCCTGCTTTTAGTGGCTTCCAGTTTTTTTCAGCTTTAAAACTTCTCCTTCAAACAAAATGACCATGAAGAAGCTCAACATGTAAATTGAACCAGATCAATTGTGTGTATTCTGGATCCCCTCTTCTGATTGCCTCAGTTCTGTCATCTTCTTAGTGTCATTCCCAAATGCCAGGCATGGTGGCACATACCCATAATCCCATCAATTTAGCACCCCTGGGTTCCATTCTTCCCCAGTTTTAGGGAAAAAAAAAAAGAAGTGGTAGGAGTATGTCTAGAACTTGAATGTGTATTCTTTGATGCCCAATTTGACACATAATTGTAACCTTGGACCCTATACCACCTGTAGCCTACGTATATATTTTGTTTAACCCTCAGTTTTGAAGAGGTGAATGCAATTTAATTTTAACCAAAAAAATTAAGTTATTTACTGTAATTAAATATTGGAAAATTTACTATTTTAAAACCCTGTCTTTGGCTTCCTTTAAAAAACTGAGTGATCTGGAAAGAACTGACCCATATACTTATGATAAAAATGAAGAGTCAAGTAATGGATGCTCGTTTTAGGTGGGACGTAATCCACTAAAATTATTTCTAGAACCTTTCCTCATTTTAAAGTTAACAATTAAATGAATTATCTTTGTGTACTTAAAAATATTTTAAAATCTCCTTTTAAATATTTTTAAAGTATTATTTTTCTTTTTTTTCCTCCCTTTTTAAGGACCTAGATGACATAGAAGATGAAAATGAACAACTAAAGCAGGAAAATAAAACTCTTTTGAAAGTTGTTGGGCAGTTGACAAGGTAGAAGATTCAAGGCCCAATATGGAAAAATATTTTAATAACTACTGATTGAATGTTACGATTAATGCTAGGACAATATTCCTATGCTTGCAATACATTAAAGTAACTATGTATATTTATTTCTAGAAAATGGATGTTTATTTTCAAAATATTTCTTTTTCATTATTAGTTTCAAAAAAGCATCAATCTTTTATTTCATAAATAACATCTTTCAGTTATTGAAATGATAGGTAATGTCTCTTTAGGTTTTGTGTGGTATTCAAATAATATATGGTTTAAAGTCACAGCCGTTTGAATATATTTTATCTGTTAGTACATTTTCTTCATAAAGGTATATCCATAGTCATTGTTTACATGAATTCAAATATTTGGGGGAATTACCTACAAATGCCTTATTTTGCTGTGTGCAGCCTTTTATATGTTGAAGACTTGGTCATTAAGGTCTTTTTCTACTGTCATTTGTTCTTTCCACTTATTCCAAATGATTTAGAGTAACAAGTAGTAGTTGCAGTATTTTGTGTAACCGTAATCTTTTAAAGGAAAGCTGTTATAAAAAGTCACTTAATATCATGTCCTAGTTGCCTAAAATCCAGAGAATGCTTGAATTATGCTATAGTAAATGAGTTTACTATTTTGTCTTTGAATATTGAAAAATTTTTCAATTACTTCAGCTTCTTAAAAACACAGTTGTAATTTTAATCTGTAATTTCCTGTGTAAGTACTACTTTTTTTTTGTCCCAAGTTTTATTAGTGAATATGGTATATTTTAAAAGATGTTTATTCATCAGGCCTCAAAAATGTGTTTAATTTCAATGTTTAAGAAGAAAATTCAGCATTTTATTATCCATATGCATGAAAATCAGAAACAAAATATTTATCCACACTTAAGACATTTATACATATTTTAACAATATGTAAGCAGAAGTAGTACTAAAATACATTGCCTCATTTCTAAGTTGGAAAATCCTTTGACAGTGTTTCTCATGAGTCCATTCACCTATACCAGTTTTAAGGGCTTTTTCTTTGTAACACTGAAATTTTAAAAAAGTTATTTTTTTTTAAGAATTATAAACATGGTCTCTCCTATTAAATATTCTTAGGGTTGTTTTATATTACATTTTTATGTTGAGTAAGAGCCCACCTCCTTCCTTAACATACATTAAGGATGTCTGCCTGGTAGTGAATCTCAAGTAGTAGTAATGATGTCCTTTTATCCTGTCAATGTATGAAAGTGGCTTGAACAAAATCCATTTTGGTTACCCTTTTCTTTTTTTCCTTTACTTGCAAGCTCATGCATTTATTCACTGTTAGAAAAATAGGGAAGGTAAGACAGTTGGGAGAAAATGTGGAATAATTATAAATATCAAATGTTGAATTCTGAAAATTTCTATGTTCACCCAAGTTATCTTTTCCCACTCTCCACTTGGGAAGTTTCAAGATTGGGTGATCATCAAACTCACTTGAGAAACTACAAAGAGTTTCCGAGTTTAGTTCCTGAATAGGTTTAAGTTGAAATCCTGGATTCAAGAATTTTTAAAGTTTATGATCTGATGATTCTGATTATAACTTAGTTTTGGAATCAGATACTATTGTGTTTGTGTCTTTGCTCCAGTAATTCCCAGTGAAGATCCTGAAACCGACAATTTCAGTTATCTGTATTTTCCTCTTTTTAGTTTATTTAATGATTAATCTGGTTCAGGGAGCAGTTTTTATGTCCATATAAATGTTTACTGCTCGATATTAGATTCCAAATTTGGTATAGTTACAGAATTACTATTAAGCATTTCCTTCCTAGATTTTTACTTAGTATAGGAACAGTGTTCTGCTGCCCACATGTCAAAGTAGTGTGCTAGGCCTAGTTACCATGTTGGTTGTGAGGTACTCATCTCTCTTTAGCCATCCTTAGGTATATGACAGAAATGTCCCCATTTCCTAATTCTTCTTTACCTTTTATATGTTGTGAAGATGTTGTTAGTATTCAACCTCAAAAATATATTGGTATATTGGTTTTTCAGTACAAGAATTACTTTGAATTTTCTACTTAATTCATTATATAAATAAAGGAACAATTCATTTTACTTGTAAAAATTACATCAGTTACAGAAGTTTTAAAGACTGAGCTATTTTGAAATTTTCCCTTCTTTTAATGGGAACATTTCAATTTTTGCTTTTTTATCTTAATGATACCAAGGGCATATACAATAATTGCCTGACAATTTAGGCAAAGCATTTCACATGCAGTCCTTCCCCCACCTCCTTAGAATGTGTATGTATTTCACATACAAATTTTTACCCTATTGAAAAATGAATAGGATCTGCTCCAATTTCTCTTTGAAATTTATTTAAAATGTTGAGACTTTAAAATGTTAACCTAAGTAATGTGTACTGCCCTAGAAAATTTCATATTTTCAGTAAAGTACAAGTAATTTATGAAATTTAGTCCTATTAGGAAATATTGTTTCTCATATTTCCTGGGAATTTGTGGCAAAATAAAGCACATACAGAGTTCTAATGTATTTATGACATCATTTTCTAAAAGTTTATTATCTTTAAGATGAACATGACTTGCCACCCTAATTCTTCTATGGATTACTTAAAAATAACTACTAATCTTTATTTCATTTTCTAGAATTATTGATAATTTTATTGTAATGCAATTATTTTTAGAAAGGAAGGAGAAGGATTTGTGATGTCTTTTTATCTGAGAGATTTACTAAATAATAGATTATAGCACTGTTACACTTAGTCAAGTAGTTTAAAATTTAGAAAAGTAAGTATTGGGGCAAGCACATGAAGCAGTGTAGTTTTATTTTTTTCTTAATAAATTTTAAAAATGTTAAATTGTGATAGAAGCGCAATGTGTTCTTAAGGTGAAAAACCTACCTCAGTTATATTTGGTTTATGTTTTCTGGAGTAATCTGGATTTTTATAATTAGAAATTAAATGTAAATTTTTGAGTCCACGTTTACTTTGTTGAAAACAGTACAGGTCCATGTAGTAGAAATATCCATATGCTCAATACCATAAGACGAAACAATGAAGACCTTGGATTTGATATTGGTCTGATGTCCTAAACAACCTTCACATTTTGGTTTGTAGTTTTATGAATTTGAGTAACTAGTAAGTTCCAAGTAGTGTTGGTACTTACTTAATAACTAATCATGATTTTGTTAACTTGTTCCAAGATTTAGGTGTATATTTTCATTCTTGCAGTATATGAAACCAAGGACATCAGTTTTTCGTTAGAGGGAATATGTTAAATGAGAAAGAATCAGCATTCAAGATTCAGACCTTTAAAATAAGAAGTTTAGATTTGTGTGAAATGTTTTCATTGTATTTGTACCAGTCCTAATATATAACAGCAAAGCTTGAGTCCTTTTGCATTGGAAGTATGCTTTCATAAGTAAAGGATATCCCATTAATGAGAATTTTAACTTACACTAGTGAGACACTTTTCTTTTGTTCATTAAACTGAGAGCATAATATTAATAGCAAATTTGCTAAATAAGCACAATGACAGAGGCACCTTCCTCTAAGCTATTCAGATTTTCCTTGATGTATATAAGTTGAAATCATATTCTCTCCTTATCCCCACACAATAATTATGTGTGAGTTTGTAAAAGTATGTATGTGGGTATTGTATTGCATTTTCATACCTATTTCAGCAAGTATTTATTAGTCACCTGAGTGTAGTACTGTTACAGGTGTTACAGAATTTTTAAATCAATGGACATGGACCAACTCTTCTGTTTAGCAATGTACAATCTATATAGTGTGTTTCAGTAGCATAAAACATACATAGTCTTATGCAACATTAGCATGTCTGATCTGGATAGTTCATTCAAAAATATTTTGAATTAATTATCCAGAAATTGTCTTTTAGATGTAGTTACTGTAGGTACTGTTTAATTTGATGCAACATTTACTGATGAGTGGAGAGAAAGAACTGATGCATAATAAGAAGTATCTTAGCATTTTTTTAAGATAATTGTACTTTAGGAAAAGAACATTATTAAGGAATTTAAAGCAGTAACGAAGTGAAAAGAATTCAGTGTTTATCAGATACACCAAACTGTTGATAATATTCAAATGTGATTTCAAGTTAGTATTTCCATATATATTATTGATTAATGGTATATTTTTAAGTATGGAAATTGTCTTTAATCTATAGTTCACATATTGGCAGTCACTTTGATAATAATAAAATGTTAGTGATGATCACTTGGTGGACATTAAGTACTTGTCTTTTGTTTTCTCCTCTGGACACCTAATTAGATATGTGACTTTTTTGGTGAACTTGTTTTTTAAAAGATTTGGCTGTGCTATGCAGAGTATCTTCCTTCATGTTGTTTTTCCTAAATTTAAGAAGTAGCTGTTGGTACCAGCAAAGACCATGTGAGAACAAAAACTATATTTTGTTGAAAAACCAGGTAATTCAGATAACCCAAATATTGGTGGGAAAAATCCAGATAATTTATTGAACATATTAGTATTGTTTAGACCTTTTTTTGATCATTCCCATTGCATATGTTTTCATTGTGGAATAGTCAGGTTAATATAGATTCACTTTTAATATGCTTTGCATGTGAAAATAATAAATATTCAATAAAAAAGTGAGTTTTCATTTATTTTTTCAATGCTGGTTGTTTTTTTGTCTGTTTTTGTTTTTCTCCTTCCTGTTCTATTAGTGAACTCCTCTCCATAAGTTTTATTTTTTAAGTTAATGGATAATTATAATCTAATTGGCTTTGTAAATCATACAGAAACAGTATGCAGCACTATAAAAATATTTACTTGATGTATTATTTTAGAAGAAGTAATATTTTAAGAAAAGAATACAGTATTAAGATCTAAATACATTAATAATGGGCTTCTTGAATTGAGAAATGCACATATGTATTCGCTGAGGAAATTTTAACTGTCTTTGTGTTTTTAAAGTACATGGTTTTTTAATTCAAAATTGGAACTGTAAATGAAATCTAATGCTGTTTAAAGAATTTCAGACCTCTCATAGTTTGAAAAAGATAAGTATGACTCTAGAAATGTGCAAATCTAGTCTTTGTTTCTTTAGTAAATGGTTTACATAACCTTTTGTCTCATGTCATTCTTCATACACCTATACAAGCTAATCAGTCTGCTTCTAGAACTTCCCAGTGATGTCATACATGTCTAACAAGTAAACAAGTATCCTTGTCAGTCTTTTTAGGTAATATCTCAAGTCCTTATATAAGGATGTTTTCCACTAGCAAGCCTATTGACAAAAATTACAAGAATTAATTAATCTTAATTGTAACTGGAACCTAGGTAAGCAGCCCACCACTGAACTATATCCCTAGCCATAATAATGCTTTAAAATAAAGGAAAAAGTTCTGTTTGTGTCAAGTATTTGAGCAACATAGGAAAAAATTAATAAAAAAATTTGAGGCCAATATATGAAGGTGAATTGAACTACTTTAAACATGTGAAGAACAAGTTTTGGCTATAATGTATGCTTTTTGTGTTACCTTTTGCTCACTTGTTCATCATATAGTCTTATTCCATATGTAATCGGTTGTTATTCTTTAGACATATTTGGGGACATGAAATTCACCATCTTTATGTTGTAAACTTCCATCCAAAGAAATATTTGAATTTCTTTAAAATGTGAACATTTATTATGGCTAACCAAAGATACATAACGCCATCAGTGGACATTTTAGATTTATAGATAAAAATTATTCAGAGAAATAAATAGAAAGATGTCTGATTTCTTTTATTCTTGTAGTTCAGGAATAAGAAGTGTCAAAAATATAGGATGCCAGGTATGGTGAAGCATGCCTGTAATCCCAGCAACTGGGAGAGCTTGAAACAGAAGGACCAGTAGGTGGAGGCTAGTTTTAGCAATTTAGGTATGCCCTAAATAACTTAGCAAGATCCCTCCCTCAAAAAAAAAAAAAAAGAAAGAAAAAGAAATTTAGTCTGAAGAATCAATAACAGAAAATAAAATGATGCCAGTCATGTTCATATTAACTATTATTTAAATCTGAATTAGTGGCTACTTTAATGGAATGAATAGAGAATAGACACTTTGAAAATAGTAATTAATGAGCATAGGAGGCCTAAAAGTGCCTCCTGTTTCTTGTAATCCTTTTTAAAAAGATTAATGTGGTTTACATTCATCTAGACAACTCAGGTAACAACGAAGAATAGCTTTAACCCTACTTTATTATAGCATAATTGTATTCAGTAGTTACTAAGGGACCATATATGTTAGTGTGTGAGGTTCATTCTGTGTGTGTGTGTGTGTGTGTGTGTGTGTTTTAAATGAGTTTTGTTTGTAGTACTGGAGTTTGAATCCAGAGGCACTGTACTGTACAACTGAGCTACATTCTTACCCCTTTCTACTTTTCATTTTGAGATAGTGTCTCTCTAAGTTGCTGAAGCTGGCCTTGAACTTAAATCCTTCTGCCTCAGCCTCCCAAATCACTGAGATTTTAGGTGTGCGCCACCACATCTGGCTACATATTATTTCATTTGATGCTTTAAAATCTGAAGGATATACAGATTGGAAGGGTAATGATGCTTTATGGTGTAACACTCACTTTTGTGACCTAATCATTATCTGTTAAATATTCTGCCAGTGGTTCTCAAAGTGTGTTTACCACACCACTAGCATTCAGCTTCACTTTGAAATCTGTTAAAAATACTAAATTCTTTGGCCCCACCCAACACTTGAATTAGAAACTTTTGAGTGTGAAGCCTAGCTAGCAATCATTTTAACAATGTATAGGTACTTCTGAAGTGGCCAAAGCTTTCAAACTGTTACATTATGCATTTCTATGTTTTAAGCAAAGATCTTCATTTGTCTTTTTGGACATTGTATCAATATATAAAATGTGAACTTTTTTTTTTTAAAAGGCCTTGTCTTTTGCTGTTTTCATTGCAAAAGATTGTTATCAGTAAAAACTTCATTGTGGATATTGGCAGCTTGACATAACCCCATTAGTTTAGTATTATCTCTGGAACTCGAATCAGTTTTCTTGTCCAAGCGACTGTGGAATGATATCTTTGTTGTTCCGTATTAATGTTTATCTGTTATTGCCTGAAGGTTTTGCTAACTGAAATTCATTTTTTTCTACCTTTAAACCTTGACAAATAAACATGTTTCATAAGTTACAGGTTTGGTTTTTTAAAAAATGTATAGACACTGTGGGGTGGTCCTTGAGGAGTGTAAACCTTCAAGATTATTCCCTTATGAGCTCAGAAAAATCAGTGGCCCTTTCTAGCTAATGGATCAGTAGGGATAAATCCACAATTTGTATCCTTGAGAGTAAAGATAATAGGCTATATGTATTGATTCATCGTCATTATTTTTTATATATAACATTTAAATAACTTTATTTTTGTAAAACTTTAGAACAGTTATAGATTTACAGATTATTAAAAGTGAAGATAATATAGTTTACTTGTATGCTACTGTATCGTTACCCATATTAACATCTTACACTAGTGTTACACATTTTTCACAATTAATGAACCAGTATCGATAGATTATTAAAGTTCACATTTGATTCAGATTTCCTTAGTTTAACTTGCTATTCTGTTTATGCTATAGGATCTAGTCCAAGCTTCTATATTATGTCTCTCTTGGATATTACAGTTTTCAGTACTGGTCAGGTATTTTTCATATTTTTCTATGGACATGTCAAATAGACACAAAAGTAGGGGAAATCATCAGTATCTCACCAATTTTATTTTGTTTAAACTAGGATGTAAATTCCAATCATCCTATTCAACCTATAAATATCTTAGTATGAATCTAGTAATGAGGATTTGAAAACCACAATATGATCATACCTAACAAAATTAATACTAATTCCTGAATATTATTTGTCAGGGTTCTCTGAGATGCAGGCATATAAAAGATTTATTGGGGAACACGCTTGAGGAAAATTTGGGAAGAGGTAAGAGGAGGTTGAGAGAGCTGTCAGAAATCAGTACAGGGCTGAGTGCTGAGGCAAAGAGATGGAGGTTACTTGGGATAATTTTTTAAAAGTGGTGCCCAAATTATCCTCCTTGTTAAAACAAGTTTAGCAGGGTTGATGAGTCCTCAACCCAAAGGTGCATGTTCCTCTTAGTAGTCTCAGATCTTGGAGGAATGGACCTGCCATTGTATTTTTGTTATGTTCATTTGGCAGGGAGCAGCCAGTACAAAGTGTGGCCTCAGGTGAAGACCATAGTAAATTCAGACCACAGCAGTTGGTACTATCAGTTACCCATCCTGAAATTAGACATCTGAGATGTCTATTTTCATGACCGCCACATCATCTAATACATGTACAGATTTCTCCTGGAATCTTAAGGCCTTTTTCTATTGGTTTATTTAAAAAGGGTCCAACCAATTTTATCCATTGTATTTGGTTATTATGTCTATTTTTTGTTAGCCTATAAATTAAATGGTCCCTTCATTTTTTATGCCACCGCTTTTTAAGTTGAAGAAGTTAAATAATTTGTAGAATTTCCTTCATTATGGATTTGATTACATCCTTTGTGATATTAGAGATTGATCTCAGGGCCTTGTACAGGCTAGGCCAATGATGTACCACTGAACAACATCCCTAATTCAACAGACTGCATCTTTATGGTATTATTTATCATGCCCCTCTTTTACTCTATTTTCTTCAAGTTGTTAGATGTAGACAATCTATTAAATTCAATAGTGGTGTGTACTTTCTATTGAAATCACATCACAAGGCACATTATGTCTGGTTGTTTCACTTTTTAATGATGTTAAGATTGATTAATAGGTTCAGATTCTATTAACTTGATTGCTGTTAAAGTTTCTCATTAATCTTGTATATAATGGTTTTAGCAAACTGATATTATCCATTATATCATTAGATGTTGCAAAGTGATAGTTTTCTAATTCTATCATTCCATTTACTTTAGTAGTTGGAATTCTTTAAAGAGGAATTTTTCTTCTTCGACTACTTGGTTTCCTTAAAAATACAAGAAAGATAAAATCATGTTGATTGTTTTATTTGCCAATTTTGCAATTGTGAGCCAGCATGTTGGCAACCTCCAAAGGTAAGGCATGAGTTTGTTTTATATATTTAATGTGCTTTAATCAATTACAATTGTTAATTTTTTAAGTAAGAAACAGAACTCTAGTGTTTGTTTTTGTTGGCTTTTTTTCCCTTTTTTGTTTTTCTCATTTTTTTGTTGTTGTTTGTTTGAATAGGAGGCAGATCTTAGATATATCTTGATTTTTCTTTGAAATTTTACATCTATTTATGCCTATTGGTAACATTAGAAGATTAATTATAAAAGTCAAGATTTTTATTTTCTGAATAGTTAAAACCACTTTAAAGTTGTGTTCAAATTAGGACATAGTTACATAACTGTAAAAATGTGTAGATATTCATTGAGTTAGCTGTGAAAAGAGAGCAGTGCTGTAGAATTTAAACCCATGATTTTTAAAATGTGGTGTCCAAATTATTCTCCACCTTAAAATTTGACCCAGTTTCATAGTATGAGTACAGAGAGACTAGATACATCTGAATGAGGGTCAATATACAGATAAGTACCAGTGATTGGGGTTTTCACAGCTGGTTTTAAGGTAGTCCTGGATACGAAAGAGTGTTGAATGATGGCCAAAAACAGATTAATTGCCTTGTGACTGATCAAGCCACCAAGAGTCTCTGCAGTGCTTGGAATGAAGCCCAGTTCCTGGCAGCCATCACCTAGGGTCCACCTGATAATTAATTTTGGCAAAACCCTTTCTCTGCTATCTCCAATACCTCCATCCAAAAAGAAGAATTCACTGTTTTTTTCCAGAATGTGGAAACAAACTATAGCCTAGAATTCTTGGATTTTGCAACTTGGTTCACAAATATTTACTATGGTGCCTACTTTTTGTTAGGCTTTGTTATAAGTAATAGGAACATAGCAGTGAACAATAACAGCAACAATAAAAGTCATATCATGTTTTTCCTTAGTAATCCAATTAAAGAGTGTTATTACAGTGTTGAGAAGTGGTGGTTCCTTAATTAAAAATATTCTTTGGTCTCAACATAAGAATTGAACTCATTTAATGAGATGGCATTAG